AAACCAATGAAAGAATGAAAGATAGAACCCTAGAAAGTTGAGAAAGGAGCTTTAACATCCAAAATCCTCCTCCAAGGGGTGAAGTTTCGCCTCTGTCTGCCAAAAGATGTCTACCCTAAGTCAACTAAACCCCTTTTATAATTTCTATAAATTACACAAAATAAGCCCAAGCCCATAAAAATGGCGCTCAGTGGCACTTTTGCCGCTCAGCGGTAAGTGCGACTCTTCAGAATGAAGCTCAGCTGCATTTTTAGCCCTCAACGGTGATTTTGGCACTTCAAAGCTGGCGCTCAGCGGTAATTACTGCTCAGCGCAACTTTTTATGCATTATGGTTGACTTTTCTGCATTCTGGTTGACTAGTTAACTTTTCTGGTTTCTAGTTGACTTTGTTGCATTCCAACCATTCGGTACTTTAACTCTTCTTTCAAATCATTACAATAACCTACAAAATCAAAGGAATCCATCAAAAAACCATTAAATTCACCTTCAACTCTCTTTTATTCACAAAACTAAAGCAAAAACATGATTCCAAGCTAGTTTCTAAGTCATAAAGGTTGTTTTTGATGTCAAAATTAAGTATAAAAATAACGGTTTTTCGACTGTTATCGTTATCCAAGGCTCCAAAATTGTATTTGTAGAAAAAAAAAAGAATGACTGTTGGGAGTCAGAATTAATGCCCCATCACGTCGAACCCCTCAAAGAATTCGACATTTTGTGGAGTGACCCTTTGGCTTCATGCGCATAATAAAACGTCAAAGCCCTCAATAATTTGACGTTTTATGGGTTGGTTTAAAAGAAAAAATAAAAAGAATAACTATTGGCAATTAAAACGTCGAACCCCCAAAGAATTCGACGTTTTGTGGTTGGTTTAAAAGAAAAAAGAAAAATATAATAAAAAAGGGATTGACCCTTTGGCTTCTGGCTAGTTAATAAAACGTCAAAGCCCCAAAAGAGTTCGACGTGTAATGCCTTGCCTTCATGCGCATAATAAAACGTCGAAGCCCCTAGTAGTTAGACGTTTTATTGGTTGATTTAAAAGAAAAAATAAAAAGAATAACTGCTGGCATATAAAACGTCAAAGCCCAAAAGCATTCGTCGTTTTGTGGTTGGTTTATAAGAAAAAAGAAAAATATAATATAAAAGGGATTGAATTTACGTCGAGCTGGTTTTGGTCGTGACGTTAATTCATTTTAGACGACGAATTGGATTCCAAAACGACGTGGAGCGATTGAATTTATTTACAACAATATCACTGGTGATTATTAACGTTGGTTGTTCTGTTATGAACCGTTATGCGTATTATGCGTGTGATGCTATACACGATTTTTATATTAGTGTGAGAATAATTATCAAATATCAAAATTGAGTATTTTTTGAGAGTTATTCTTATATTTATAAGATTAATATGAATTTTGAATTTATATTCTTATTAAAATAATACTTGTTTAAAAATAAATTATAATAATTGAAGAATAAATAACAATTAATATATCATGATACTTATTTATAATATTTAAATATAATCCAAATATACGCTCCTTTATAATTAAAACCTTTAAATAAATCGTGTAAGGTATAATAGAAAGATACTACAATCATAATTTATTTTTTATTACATAACATACAAAATTCATCTCATTTCCCCGTATTTTCCTTTCGGACAAAAACATAATGGGAAAAGAGAGAATAATTACAGTTTGAAACGTAAATGAAGTAAAAAGGTTAATTTTTCTTCAAAAAAAGACATCGTTTTTTTTTTCAAATTCAAAGTATTTTTCCGTTGAGAAGTAAAAATATTTAAAATTTTGAGTTTGAATTTTAATAATTTATTTAAGATATAATAGTCATATTTTCTATTTACCATCTTGAATATCCAAATGAGAATCCCTAATCACCGTAAATGTGTACCCTTCTTATCACATCAGAATAACTACGGATTCTCCGAAACTCAGCTGATTTTCTTTGTCCTCGCGGTGCTCTTGGCCAAATCTCACTGCATTGAAATTTCTCGGTAAGTAAATGGTGCCCAATTTTTTCATTTCAAGATTAGTTGCATCATCATCGTTCACTGGCTACAAGGGTAGTCATCTTCTATTGGGTTCTCTGTTTCCATGCAAACACACTGCTTCACTTGTTTTCTTCAATTATTTCACTTCAGACACTTCCTCTGATTCTAAATCAGATGGAAAGCAACACAAAGGTTCCACCTTTACTGTGTCCGACCTCATCAACTCATGTGGGATGTCCCAAACTCTGGCTAGGGAACTCTCCAACAGGGTGAATTTGAAAACCCCAGATGGCCCAAATGCTGTCATTGATATCCTCAGCAACTATGGGTTCTCAAAATCCCAGCTTGCCAAGCTTGTGATGAGACATCCTTCCGTGCTATTTACAAATGTAGAGGATACCCTTTTGCCTAAACTCGAGTTCTTTCGTTCTATTGGGCTGTCCAACACTGACATACCTAAGATCCTGATTGCCAACCATGGTATCTTGAAGAGGCACTTGGAAAACTGCATCATCCCTCGCTATGAGATCCTAAAGAGTGTAGTTCTTGCTGATCGGGAAGTTGTTAGAGCTATTAAAAATGCCCCACTTGGTTTTGTGTATGGTGACTTAATGAATAGGTTGGTTCCAAACATTGACATTTTGAGGGAATGTGGTGTGTCCCAGGCTTCCATCACTCACCTGGTGACTAATTCTCTGTCTGCAGCATATGTGGAGCATTCCAGGTTTGTGGAAGCTATCAAGACAGCTAAGGAAATTGGATTTAGCCCTTTGAAAATGGACTTTGTTGTTGCTATTCACGTGCTTGTAACTATGAGGAAAGAAGTGTGGGAGTCAAGGTTTGAGGTTTATGAAAGGTGGGGCTGGAACCGGGAAATGGCTCTTCGAGCATTTAGGAAGTTTCCCAGTTTTATGAAGTTTTCAGGGGAGACATTTTCCAGAAAGATGAGTTTCCTTGTGAAGGATATGGGTTGGTCATCAGAAGCTATTGCTGAATATCCTCTAGTTGTAGCCTACAGCTTGGAGAAGAGGATTATTCCTAGATTCTCTGTAATAAAAATCTTGAAATCAAAAGGTCTCCTTGAGAAAAACGTGCACTTTAGTTCCATTATTTGCACAACTGAGGAAAAGTTCTTGGAGAAATTTGTCGTCAATTTTCAGAATGTTTTGCCCCTCTTACCAGACCTCTACAGAGGTTTGCTCAATCAATCTAATGTAGTGTAGCATTTGGTTGTTTTTATAGCTATGATTCTTTCTAGCTTCAAACCTTTTAAGTTCAATCCTAATTAGATCTTTAGTTTTTCTTGTTTTCACATTTTGTGCCATTTGAGTTCTATTTTGATACTGATTGTATAAATAAATAAGCTGATAAATCCCTTTACTGGTGATTTCCACTTTCAGTATCTTGGTTAATTTATCTCCATTTCCGTTGTATGTTCTATTTTAATGTGACCATACTATATATATATATATATGTATGTATGTATGTATGTATGTATGGATATATATGTATGTATGTATGTATATATATGTATGTATGTATGTATATATGTATGTATGTATGTATGTATGTATGTATGAATGTATATATATGTATGTATGTATGTATGTATGTATGTATGTATATATATGTATGTATGTATGTATATATATGTATGTATGTATGTATATGTATGTATGTATGTATATATATGTATGTATGTATGTATATATATGTATGTATGTATGTATATATATGTATGTATGTATTTCCATCAATTATAAACGAAGATGAGATTTTATAGGCATGAGGATGTCTATATTTCTTTCTACCATAAACTATATAGAATGTGTTGGTGGAGGCCCCTGTTGTCTGTTAGAGCATGCAGAAGGGATCAATAACTAAAGTTGAATCAAACTACAGTTAATTGTGCTTTAATTACCATGTTGTAAAGTTGTCTTAAAATTTTGTAATCTTCCTCTACTTCTATGTGTCACTATAGTGCACACTGTTATGTCATGGATACATTTAGCATTGAACTATTTCCAGCTTCTGTTTCTCTTCATATTTTACACATTATCTCAAGGCAGTAGTAACCAGAAAGCAGGGGAAGGTTACCTTCACTATGTTTGTAATCAAAGTCTATTTAATGTTTCAATGTTTCTTTGATGAAGATGTCTAAGCACAATGTGCTGAAAGATCAAGTAGTATTGACTGTTATTAGTGAAAACTGGGATTTCTTTTATTTGTCTCGTGTTGAACGAGGCCATTAAGTTGATGGCAAGAGTGCACATGATTTCCCTAAGATATTTGAAACTGCATTTAAAGCATTATGGACTTGGATACTGTGCTATTGAACTGATTCTTTTAATATAAATTTTTCTACTTGGACACACAAGGACCCTTTTTTGTGATGGATTGTTTGGCCTTGGTCTTTTGAAAGATGAATTATTGTGAGGGATTGATTCCTTGCTTACTCAGATATACTTACTGACAATGTCATTCTGATTCTGGTGCTTTTGATAAATTTTTTTAAGAATCAATGATCATAATTTTGTCACTTTTATAGGTGGTTTTCAAATTAGTTATAGTAGCAAGTGGCTTTAATCTGATAGTACTCGATAGTACTTCATATTGGGGGACTTAAATTAGTTCATGGGAACTTACCTTTAAGCATAAATGACAAGTTTATTTTGAGGCTTCCTTTCTGGACTTTTATCTATTGTCAGATTTGGCTTTTTTTTTTTTTTTTTTCTGTGTTAAGTTGAGAAATTGTCTTCACTGATATAGATAAATACTTTTAGCTTATTGTGGAGTTGCTGTCTATGTCTTGTGGTGCAAATTTTAGGTGATCTAATGGACAATGGTAGCCTGCTTTATGTAAACAGATTTAAGTGGATGACAGTATGTGATAAGGTTAATAAATTTAGTGGATTTCTTCTCGTTGTGTTCATCTTAACTTGATATATGCTTTGGGATGGCATTCATACTATTAACCTATTGTATTTTTGGTAAAAGGTTATGGGAATAAAATCAAGGAATTGATATGGGATTAATCTAATAACTCACTAACACATAATTTACTAAGTACGCAGGGAAAGCACCACAAGTAAAGTTTCAATATTAACACAACCTTTTGAATTATTTGAGAAAACTAAAAGTTAAAAGTTTATTGAATACACTCTTGTTTTGTTTTTTTGTTTTCATTCCTTGTCTTCTCTTAGTTTTTGTTTATATATATATATATATATATATATTAATATATATATATATATATATATATATATATATATATATATATATATATATATTAATTTTTCTTTTATTTTTAGAAGGGAGTGCACAAGCTTTAGTGTGGGATCATTTGATAACACATATTTTGTACACACTTTTTGTTACATAATAAGGTAGGGGGTAATAATAAGGTTTGAAAAGTATATGAGAAGGAGAAGGAAGATAGGAGGGAAGTGAGATATCGGCAAGTGTACAAAATCGTATCAAATAATAATAAATGGTAAGACCAAGTATCGTTTCCCAAGAGACTCACGATACTAGACACTCATATAATTACTTAACTAATTAAGACTTTGAAGAACAACATAGGGATTTTGAATGCAAAAACAAGAAAGTAAATATGAACGCACTTTTGATCAAGTGAAGAAAAACACAAAGGTGAATGAATAATATTGAAATTATGAGATGAGTATGTTGTTGGGGTTTAGATTTCACCTAGATTACTCTCATGCATATACAAATTCATCTTCTTCATGCAATTGTTAACGTCACTTTCTAAAGTACTTAAAACCCGATCCCTCGACGAAGAAAGTCTATCCTTAATTACTAGACCACAATCCTTTGCATCCCTAATAATTAATTATGCATTGCGATTATAAGCTTAAGACGACTAATCCTCCTATCCCCCATCCCTAGGAAATATTGCTCTTGGGAGAAATTCTCAAGATCGTGGTTTCTAGGTATTTCCTAATAACAAAGAAGACCATAAAATCATGCCATGAACGATCAAAACATAACAAGCATAGAGCAAAGTAGAAAATCCCTAACAATTGATGAAAGAATCATATATAATTAAAACCAATTCAAATATATGAGAGTTCACAAGGTTACATCATCCCCAACAACAAATTTAATTTAGTTCCCCCTTGTCATGGGAAAACTAGATGAACAATGGAATGAAAATGAATGATAAACCCTAAAAACTGAAGAGGAGAGCTTCTGTATCCACTTCTGCCTCCAGAGAGTTGGAGAAAATCTAAATTAATGTTAATTCTTTCAAAAGATACTCCCTCTAAGTCGAGCAAATCCTTAAATAGGGTTGAATTGGATCATGGGCCAACGTTGACACCGCTTAGCGTCCCTACTGAGGGCGCCTAGGCGAGCTTGCCAGAAAACTGGCGCTCAGCCCCCCTTTCTGATGCTCAGCCCAAGCGATACCATTCCAAAACTCATTTTTTTTGTTGTTTTGCTTGCTTTTATGGCTAATTCAGCTCTATACATTGTTGGAGATTCTTCCAGGCACATTATTAGCTACAAAATAAAGGGAATTTAGTGATAAAATCATAAAGTATAAACTCTACTCACTTATTCTCATAACTAAAGCAAAAACATGAGTTCAAACAAGTTTCTAAGTCAACAAGGGTGCATTTAGTATCAAAATTATATCACAGAGAACAGTATTTTCAACCGTTATCACAACCCCAAACTTGAAACTTTTCTTGTTCTCAAGCAAAATGTTATTTGGCTTAAACAAAATAATCATACTACAATGGTCTAGCACACCAAAAAGCATTTTCCTCTAGGACAAGTAAATCACTCATGTCTGCTCATCATAGAAAGATTAGTCAAGATATAATGATGCTTTAACCAATCAAGCTTCAACTGTGGTGCTCACATGATCAAGACATACACAACAAATGCAACCCTCATGAATAATCAACAACCAAGCAAGAATGTTATCATACAGTCATGGAACAATTCCTCACCAAAGACAGTGTTTCACTCAAGCACTTAAAAGTGTTTCACTCAAGCACTCAAAAGTTTTTCACTCAAACTCAAAGGTGTATAGTGAGGTGACACTCTTATACTCTACCATCACAATGTCACAGGAATCAACTTTGTCTTTCATTTAACCACATATCAAACACACTCACAAGAAAGTTATCATCACAAGGACTTTTCAAGGCTTGTAACATGGCCGGGCTAAGAAGAAAATTGGTTTTTCTAGACAACAAAATCCTTGAGTTAAGAGAGTGCATAATTCATTTATTCACATTAATAATAATCTCTCTTTCTTCTTTTATGTGAGAAACCAATATTCAACTCATTCCCAAATTTCCTTTCATTGAGCTTAACCTTTTATTCTCTTTCTTTTCTTCTCTTTTCTTTTTCTTTTGCTTTTGGCTTTTTCTCAATGCTCTTTAATGAATTTCATAAAGTTCTTTCCGGTTTTTCGTAACCCCGAACTTGAACCATTCTCCATTACCATATAAACATACCCTACTTAACTCAAAGTAAGGATTTAAAAAAAAAAGTTTTTTCAACTTTCAACTTTAGGCTCAAGGTTCAAAGGTTAAAGAGAAACATTGTTCTTTGTTGGGTTCACCAACTAGCATTGGCTCTAAGGGAAAAGAAAAGAAGGCCTTGATCATGTGTAACAAGCAAACAAGTGGTTCAATCATACAAAATTAGGCAAAATCAATCATGCTTCTAAACCAATAGCATTCAATCAATCAAAAACTGTTAGACCTCGGAAATTTAACCCAAACCCCACCTGTTTAATCTCATTTAATGCGCCCAAAACCCTGTTCAGATTCATTTAAAACTCACCCAAAACTCTGTACACTTACGTCAGGTGTCAAGAATGGAAGATTCGAAAATCAGTAAGTGGAGGACAGGTGTCCATAGGAGAGTGCACGTCCGTTGGACGTGGGGTAGACAAAAATGATTTTCTGAACAACCCTGTTCACTCTCCTCTGCAAGCACTTCTCCTTCCTAACTCTGACTTTCCATTTTCCTCCTCCTTCTCTTTAGAAATTCCCTTTCTCTCTCTACTGTAGCTCACTCTTCTCTGCTCTGATCACCGTTTAGGCACCGGAGAAGGATTCCCGGCGTCGTGAGCTTCATTCTGGACCGAACTTTTCCAGATTTTGAAACTGGTAAGTTTCTCTTCTTCGTCGAGCGTTCTTTTGTTACATGCAAAGCCAAATTCTGGTTGCATGAAGGGGTATAGTCTAAGTTATTCTTGATTTTTATATGG